AACCACAGTGCAGGAAACGTGGACATGGGTGTGTGTGTGTGTGTGTGTGTGTGTGGGTGGGTGGGTGTGTGTCGAGTCATGCACGGTGTTTGGTTGCTTGAAGGAGATGTGGGTTGTAGGTGACGAGCCACCACCCAACACCACCCGAAACCAACGCAACACCAAAGCTGATGAAGGCTCAGTCAGTGACTTTCTTCAAAGGTGTGCACTGGTTATTGTATGGTTCATGTCGATAGCGAAAAACAAGAGAAATGCAAATGCACGACGCCAACAAAGGCGAAGACGCGGTGCATGCCAAACGCACACACACACACACACACACACACAATAACAACAACAACAACAACAACAACAACAACAACACGTAACGCCAGGCATCACTCCTCCTCAATGGTGACACCGAGGCCTGCTGCGGTGTGCTGGATACGAGCGGCGTCCTGCGACGCGCCAATGGCCACCATGTTCTTCAGCACAAACTGCGCCTCCTTCATCTGCGCAGGGACGAGACGCTCAGAGAGTATCAGACCGAGCACAGCCTCATGCACACCTTTCGTGGCCATCAGCCGCACGTGGTGCTCGTCGCTCGCCGCCAGGTTGCTCAATGCCCACAGCGCTTCCCGGGACAGCCAGTGCAGCGACGAGTTGGAAAAGTATGCCAGCACGTCCACCACGCCCTGTTTCAGCAGCAGCGTTGTGACGTCACTCTCCCCAATCGTCACGTTGCCGATGAAGCGAATGAGCGGGCGGAACAGCGCCTGCCGCGGCGTGCACTGACGCAACAACGACAGCATGGTCGGCACGGCCCCGAGCGCAATCAAATCCGGGAGCGCCGTTGCGTCCTCAGACATGTACGCCAGCGCCCACGCCGCGTCCACCGTGGCCGCAGACATGTGCATGTGCGTGCCGAGCGTACGCAGCACGCGCAGCAGCACCGGCGCACAGGGCACAACGGCCTCAAACGACGGGCGCGGCTTGCCACGGCACAGGTTCAGCAAGCACCACACCAGCGTGCAGATGCGCTCGCGTGTTGTGCGTGACACCACGACAGCGGGCGTTGCAAGCGTCGACACAGACCCGCCGACGCGCGTGCCAAAGCTGCCATTGAGCGTGGGCGTCGCAGTGGTGCTTGTCGACATGGTGGTGATGGTACTCGTCGTAGCGGTGGTGGTGGTGGTGTCGCTTCCCTCTGCCATGCTGCGGCCACCACCCGCACCAATGCCCTCATCATCCCCACCACCGTCCATCTGGCTGCCGAGCCCACCGATGCTGCTCATGCTGCTCCTGCTGCCGTCTTTGACATGCGCTGCGTATGCGCGTTCAAGGGCGGCGTCAAAGGAGAGGTTGTCGTTGTTCTGCAGGTGTGGTTCAAACGGAACAGCCAGCGACGGCTGCTGCCACCACACGCTTGCGTCCATCCACATACGGCGTTGCTGCATCTGCTGCTGCTGCTGCTGCTGTTGGTGCCCATGCAATTGCAGGTGCTGAAGCTGAAGCTGCGCCGTGGCTGACGTGTCACCCCCACCGACTCCACCGCCACTGCTGCCTGTCGTGGAGGTGATGGAGGATACCATGGACGCTGTCCCGGACGATGCTGGTGATGACGACGACGTGGATGTGGTTGACGATGTTCCGGATGCTGCCATCGTCAGCGCGCGCGATGCAGACATGGCGGTGCCCGTCTGCGAAGCCGTGTTCATGGCGGTCGTGTCGGGTGGCAGGATGCCCTCAAGAAGGGAGATGAGACGGGGCAGCACGCCGCACTCCAACACCTGGTCGCGCACGTGCGGGCCGTCCCCAGCCATGTTGGCCAGCCCCCACACCGCCGTGTGCGCAAGCTCCTCGTTGTCGTCGGCCAGCAGCGTGGTCAGGATGCGGCCTGCCCCTGCGTCCAACAGCTGGCTCGTCTGCTCCGGTGTGCCCGCTGCCAAGTTCGACAGCGCCCACGCCGCCTCCTTGGCGTGTGCGGGCGACACACCGAGCACCTCCATCAGGTACAGCGGCGTGTTGGCAGCCAGCATCGTCGCAATGGGTGGCTCACCGGGCCGGCACGTGAGCAGCCGCAGCGCCTTCAAGTGCTTCATCATCTCATCAGGGTCGCCTGCGGCCGCGGCGAGCTTGTTCTGGATGCCTTGCACCTCCGCCAGCAGTGTCGCGTTCACCTCCTGCTCAACCTTCAAATTCGTGTATGCGTTGCCGGCAATGGCGCGCGGCTGGCCCACCGCCTGGCTGCCGCTTGTGGTGGCGGCGGGGTTGTTGCTGGTCTCGGTTGCGCTAGTGTCCATGCCCTTGCCACCGGTTCTTGCCGGCGACGAAGGAGACGGTGCGGGCGGCGGCGGGGTGGTGACGGGCGTGGTGCGCGGCGTGGATGTTGTGGGCGGCGGCGTGCCTGGCGAGCTGCCGAGCGGTAGGCTGCTGTTCAGCGGCTGCAGCACAGCCTGCTCAAGGCAGGCCTTGATGTCGCCGAGACAGCACGCCGACGTGCGCGTGGTTGCGGACGTCTTTGCGTGTGTCTTGGCGGATGTGGCCGAGCCCAGCCGGGCGCCGCCAGCCGTTGCCAGCGATGACGAGGATGCCGATGTTGATGATGGCGCTGATGCTGACGACGGCGAGGTGGATATGTCCAGGTCGTCGCGTTTGGTGTTGAGGGCGTCTTGCCGCGCGGAGCGGCGCTGCTGCTCCCTCGCCGCCGCCCGCATGTTGCGCACGTCCTTGAGCGTCTTGGGCGTGTTGCGGTAGAGCCCAAACATGGCCGCAGACAGGTGCCGGCCGCCACCACCACTGCTGCCGGGCGACGCGGTGCTGGTGTTGTGGCTGCTGGGGCTGGCGGAGGTGGAGAATGTGGATGTAAACGCCGAGGACGAGGACGAGGCTGGCGACGACGCCTTGGCTGTTGTGGTGGAAGAGGAGGAGGATGCTGACGATGATGATGATGATGTGGTGACGCCACCGCGCAGGCCGCTGGCGCGCGCCGCACCGATGATGCGATGCCTGCGCTGGCGGTCTTCCTCACGCGAGTGGTCCAGGTTGAGCTTCTTCACGCTCTGGATCAATACCATCTCGTCCGTGGCGCGCTCCATCTTTGCTTGTTGTGTGTGTGTGGGGGGGGGGAGCGGAGCGAGGAGGAACAAATGCAAGACAAGGGGCGAGGGCGAGGGCGAAGGGGAGGGGAGAGATGCAACGGAGAAGGGAAGGAAGAAGCAGAGGAGGAGGGGAAGCAGCAGATGACGCTGGCCTTGAGCGAGCAGACTTGTGTGGCTGTGTCGATCAAGATCAAAGCAGGCCCTCATGCACCGCAATGCAACTTTGATGAAGTGATGGCGAAGCGAAGTGAAGCGTGAAGCGCGTGTGTGTGGACGACCAACGCGTGGTTTGGGGAGAGCGGGGGAGGGGAGTAGGACACGAGGCCGGTTCAATGTGTCAAACGTCCATCGAAACACACGATTTGGTCGATGGATTGATTGATTGATTGATCGAATGCGAATGGAGGTGAGAGGAACACTCCAGCAAGCAGGCAAGCAAGCAAGCAAGCAAGCAAACGGCGAGTCAAAGGATGAAAGTGACCAGGGAAGGGTGGTTGACACGAGACCACACAACCAAAGAAACAAAGGGAGGTCTGTTCACCTTGTCTATGTGTGTGTCGACTGCTAAAGGATGATCAAGAGGTGGGGGGAGACAAGAAGAAGAAGAAGAAGAAGGGAGAGAAGAAGGAGGGAGGGGAACAAGGTCGCCCTGTTTCTGCGTGGTGGCGTGCTTGGTTGATGATGGCGAAGGAGGAGGGAAAAGAGAAGCAAGGCAAACAACAAGGGCAGGCACGACGCAAAACCCAAACAAAACACGCTGCCGCAAACGCGCCCTTTTCCGCTGAGTCAGCAAAACATAGACGCGGACAGATACTTTTATTGTGAGAAATGATTCGATGCGGAATCGCATGTTTTGTGCTCGTGCCGATACGCGCGCTGTCCTCCTTCGCAATCCAAACAAACAAGGGCACGTCGAGACACTGACGCCATTGGTGCACTGGGTTGCCTATGAGCTATGGGGGTGCTGATGGATTTGGCAGAAGGGTTGCCGACCCGAATTAGCCGCAACGGAAAGCAGCAGAAGAAGGGGAGGAACAGCACGTGGTGCGGAGGACGGCGGCGGCTGATATCATCGCAGCTGCTGTTGGCAAAACAAACACAAAGCAACAGCTGAGCAAGTGCTGACGGCAAGCGAGAGCAGCATTGACGTCGACGACGACTGTTGGCTGCGCTTGCCCAGGTACAATGAGATGACGCGCACACGGCGCACAAACAAAGGGCTAGCGAGCAAGAGAGAAGCAGAAGCAAGCAAGAGAAAAGCAAAAGGGAGGAGGCAAGTCAGAGGGTCGAAGAGAGGAGCGGAGCTAATTTTTTCCCTCCGTTGGTGTGTTGCCGCGGCTACCACAACACAACACAGCACAGCACTCGCTCGTGTGTGGGAAGTGGCGTGGATTTGGTTCACTTTTGTCGCTGTTAGAGTGACCGCGTGTTCATTTTCATCGCCGCTCACCGTCGCCAACCGACCAAGGACCAAGAAACCAAGACCCAAGGAAGGTCTCACGTAGTCAAGTAGTCCAGTCGCCAAGTCGATTCCCCACCTCGCCTCAAGCACGTCGGATCAAAGTACAGCAATTCCCTGGCTGTCAACCAAGATGAAGTCCACCATTGCAACGCTTTTGCTGCTGCTCGCGGCCTGCGGCCTTGCTGCACCACCAACTTGGGCCACGCCATTGGCCGGGGCAGCTGCCGAGAATGGCGAGGGCGGCGAAGGAGGCGAAGAAGAAGGCAGCGTGAACGCCGTCATCGCACACGGTGAGCGGTTTACGCGGCGACACTGTTGTGCCCGCATGTGGTGATACTATCGTACCTGCATGTGGTGATACTATCGTGCCTGCATCCTGTGATTTACGCCAATCAAATGTTCATGGCCTGTGCACAAGCACACGTGTATTCGTGCACGCTTCTCCTGCTTTCATCGCTTGCCCCTCTTCTAACCTCACTGCTGCGTTTGCTCTCGCTCACTGAATCTCCCGCTCACCGCCAATCATACAATGCCCACGCACCTGTCTTGCCGTGCTTCCATCATTGCAGGCATCTGCATGGTCCTTGCCTGGATCCTCTTCTCCCCTTCCGCCATCTTCATCGCCCACTTTCTCAAGTTCCTGGGCCAAAAGTGGTTCCTCCTCCACAAGTACATGCAGGTGTGTTTGCTGTGTATGTGCTGTGTTTGCTTGTATACTGTGCTTGTTGTATTTGTTGTGTGTGTGTGTGTGTGATTGCACTACGTTTGTTGTGTGTGTGTTCATTGTGTGTGTGCGTGTGTGTACATGTCACATGGCACATTGCTGCCCTGCCCCAACACCTCCCTAAGTTGTTCCACCACTCACCGTGTGCTTGGGCCTTGCAGATTATTGCGACACTGCTGACGGTGGCTGGGTTTATTGCCATCTTGTCGGGCGGTGAGGCCGAGGCTGAGGGCGCACACGGCTCCCTTGGCATCTTCCTCCTCGTCTGCACCCTCATCCAGGTATGTACGTTGTGTGTTGTGTGTGTGTGTGTATGTGTGTGTGTGTGTGTGCGTGCGTGCCTGCACCTGTGCGTGTTGGTCTGTGTGTGCACATATGTGTACGTGTCTGTGTCTGTGTCATGCTCTCACATGTCCGTCACATGTCCGTCACATGTCCGTCACATGTCCGTCACATGTCCATCACATGTCGCTCACGCAACGCTCACGCAACGCTCACATGATGCTCCTCATCCCGCCACCACCACCACGACCACCACACCAGGCCCTCCTTGGCTTTGCCCGCAACCTCATCAGCGGTGAGCCAACAGACCCCAACGACCCAAAGGACCACGGCCCAAGGTAGGGTGCACCATGCTATGGGCCTATGCACATGTGCATGTTTTCGTGAATTGTGCTCTTGCGTGGAACAACATCAACCACCGTTGCACGCGTCGTTGACACTGCACTGCATGTTTCCCAGCACTGCATCTATCCCTGTTTCCACCCCTCCTACAATCCCCACTGCAATCCCACCGTCCCAACTGCACTCCCACCACAACCACTGCCACGTGCGCAGGCGCTGGATGTTCAACTACATGCACTGGCTCCTCGGTGCCCTCACCACCGTAATTGCAAGTGAGTGAAAAAGAGCGCAATCGTGCATGTGTGTGTGTGTGTTTGCTGGAGGACTGCTTTGCTTTGGTTCATTTCTTCCTTGCAGCCTTGCTTACCCTATGTTACAACCCCTCTGTGTGTGTGTGTGTGTGTGTGTGCGTGCGTGCGTGCGTGTGTGTGTGTGTGTGTGTGTGTGTGTGTGTGTGTGTGTGTATGTGTGTGTGTGTGGTGCAGTCGTCACCATCTACCTTGGCCTTGATCTCGTGGAGATTGGCACGCCAGGATTCACAGGTGAGGAAACACAACTCACATTGTGCAAGGGTGTTCTGAAACTGTGGTCTGCCGATGATGAGGAATCAAAACCGCTGCACTGCTTCTCAAGAATGTTGGCGCCACCGGTTTCACACACACACACACACACACACACACACACACACACACACACACACTTTGCAGCGCTGTATGTGTGGCTCGGCGTGGAGGCGTTTGTAGTGCTTGTCTCCCTGGTGATCAACCACAGGGAGGGCCACTCCAACAACGTTCTCCTGGCGGCTTGCGGCGTCTTTGCTGCCGCCGCCCTTGCATGCACCATCGTGATTGCCGTCAAGATTGGCACAGTCTCAAACATCGACCTTTGAGAGTAATGGATTGGATATATGTGTGTGTTCTTGATTGATTGATTGATTGTGTTGTTGAGTGATTGGTTCCCACCCCCACTCCCGTATCCTCCCTTATGTTGCTTTCGTCCTCTCCTGACACCCTTTGACAGAAGTTGTGTGACTCTGTGGCGCGTTGTTTTGGTGTTTGTTTTTTTGACTGCACACGTGCACACAATATACGGCAAGCAGTGTGACCAATCATCGAGAAGAAGAAGAACGCAGTACCCACCTGAAATGTTATCGTTTGCACGTATGTAATGGAGTGAGCGATTGAGCGCTTGTGCTCCCTTGCTGCTGCCAACAGGCCAACAGAACAGAACAACAAGACAAGACAAGTAGAAGACAAACAAGAAGAAGGAAGGTTTGATGAAATGACGCACTCTGCCATGTCATCCTCGTCGTTTTCTTGCAGGCATCCTGCCGAAACATGTATGAAATCATCTATGAAACTTCCCAACTTGCATTGGATCGGCTTGTGCTGGCAAGATGACGAGCCGCAAACCGCAACAACACCCACTGCAACAGCAGCCCACGAGCGAGGACGGGATGTGCGCGGAGCGGCTTGAGCGTGTTGGGGCGTGGATGGAGAAGATGGTGGTGGAAGGGAAGCTGCCGTGCGCCTGTGTGTCTGTGCTGCGCGGCAATAAGGAGGTGTACTCCCACATGTGTGGCTTCCGCAACGTGGAGGACAAGGTGCCCGTGACGGAGGACACGCTCTTCCGCATCTACTCCATGACCAAGGCCGTCACCTGCGTTGCGCTCATGAGCCTGTACGAGGAGGGCCACTTTGAGCTCACAGACCCCGTGTCCAAGTTCATTCCGTGCTTTTCCGACATGAAGGTTGCCGTTGGTGGCTCTTATCCCGACTTTGAGCTGGAGGATGCCCGTTCCCCCATCACCATCCAGCAGCTCTTCACCCACACCAGCGGCCTCACTTACTGGTGTGTGTCGTTGTCGTTGTGTGTGTGCGTTGTTGTTGTTGTTGCTGTTGTTGTTGTTGTTGTTGTTGTTGTTGTTGTTGTTGTTGTTGTTGTTGTTGTTGTTGTTGTTGTTGTTGTTGTTGTTGTTGTTGTTGTTTTTGTGTGTGTGTGCTTTGTTGTGTGTACGTCGTTGTGTGTGCGCATGTGTTTGTTTGCTTGCGTGTGTGTATTGTTGTTGTGTGAGTGTGTGATGATACTTTGTACACTCCCCGCTGCACCTTCCACTTTCCACCTTCCACTGTCCACCTTCCACACCCAACCATGCAACCCGCCACGGTTTCCCACCACCTGACCCGCGTTCTCCCCAACTTCCTCCCTGAATTGGTGTTTAGGTTCTTTGATGACGAGCTGGGCGTGAACAAGGCTTACAAGGAGAAGAAGGTGATGTTCAGCCCGCTGTTTCCAAACGAGCACGACGGCATGGACCTTGAGAAGATGTGCGAGCGGCTGGCGTCATGTCCCCTCTTGTTCCACCCCGGCACCAAGTGGCAGTACTCCAACGCCACAGACGTCCTCGGCCGCCTTGTGGAAGTCATTTCCGGACAGCGCCTTGACACGTTCATGCAGGAGCGCATCTTCACGCCACTCGACATGCGTGACACCGCGTTCCACGTGGCTGCAGAGCATGTGGACCGGTTCGCCCGCTGCTACACCGTTAAGCGCTCGGAGGAGGACGCCAAGAAAGGGGCGTTGCTCAGCGGCGCTGGGTTCCAGTTCCAAGGGTTTGAACGCCTGGACAACGATGCGCTGTTCATGTCCCCGCCCAACGTGTACGCGGGTGGCGGCGGCCTGGTCAGCACCCTTCGCGACTACACGCGCTTCTGCCGCATGCTCCTCAACAACGGCGTGCTGGACGGTAAGCGGGTGCTCGGGCGAAAGACGGTGGAGTTTATGATGCTCAACCACCTCAACGGCGACATGGCAGACTACGGCATGCCGAGCTGGCTCAACATGAACCGCCACGGTGTTGGCTTTGGTCTTGGCTGGGCCGTTGTTGTGGACCCTGCACGCCTTGGAGCCATGTGCTCTGCGGGCGAGGTGGCGTGGGGTGGCATGGCATCCACATTCTTCTGGATCGACCCCAGAGAGGACATGGCGTGTGTGTTCATGACGCAGCTGGTCCCGTCCAGCGCCCTCCCGCTTCGCCGCACCCTCCGCTACCTCGTCAACGCCGCCATCGAGTGAGCGTGTGTAATTGTGATTGTGTGATGTGATTGTGTGATTGTGTGATGTGATTGTGTGATTGTGTGATTGTGTGATTGTGTGATTGTGTGATTGTGTGTGTGTGTACATGTGTACATGTGTATGTGATCTGTGCACGCTGTGTGCATGTGCACGCTGTGTACATGTGTATGTGATCTGTGCACGCTGTGCGCATGTGCACGCCGTGTATGCGCATATGTTATGCTTACGTGAATGCGTGGTGCGATGAATGCCGTCCACATCCCCCGTTTCCTTCCACCCATGTGCATTCGAAGTGCATTCGATGTTGTTTATTTTTTGGGTGTGATTGTTGCAAGCTGAGACCACAATACAGTGTGTGCATCATGCAGTGATGCGCATGTTGGCCTGCATGCAAAGGAAGAAGGTCCGAGTACCAAAACAGAGAGAAAGAGAAAGAGAGGACAAGCACGCGTGAACGTGCATTCACACGCGCAGGGGCGCATCCAACACAGCCGCCACTGTGGTTCCCACCCAAAGCAGCCCCCATACGCATGCACATTCATGGCGTGGGGGCTGGGGTTAGGAGTGGCGGTGATAGGGCTGCTGCCACCAAAGGAAAAGAGGGGAGAACGGGGAAAACGGGGGGAACTTACACATGCAAACTCACTTGTGAGACATGCAATGCAGAGCGTTTAAACACTGCTCGCTGCATGCAACAAACAAACCACAACAACACCAACAACGACATCAAGTATCAGCATTCAGGCCGAAAAGAAGAGCGCGTCTCTTACACAGCAACATGCATGCAGCACAGAAGAACACGGACACATTCGGTTCGCATACAAACTAAACTGGTCTTGGTCATGCACGAACCCATTGACAATCAATCAAACCAATCAAGAAGAAGAAAGAAGGGAGCAAACAAAGATAAGCTGGTGGTGGTGGTGGCGCTGCTGTTGCTGCATTTGCGGCAACAGCGTGCCGCATACGTTTGGGTATCACACACAGACACACACACACAACATCAAAACACACACAATGAAGCTGAATCCACTACTCAAGTTATGCTGACTTGATACGTCTACCCTTATGAAAAAACTGCAAATGCGTGCGGGAGACGGCGACGGTGATGCACAGTGGCCGTGTAGTGATGGCACCAGCAATGCGATGCGGGAAGCACCATCCATCCACATCCATATCCACATTCACATCACACGCCATCGCGCGTACGCTCGCGTCACACCCACGAGATGCGGGCTGCGTGTGTGACGACAGTTGCCAGTGGCGGCAGGGCCATCGACGACGACGACGACGACGACGACACGGATGGAAGTGCTCCACGTCGCTCATCATGGCTGCTCTCACCATCAGAACCATCGGCACCATCGCCATCAGCGCTCTGCTCGCCGACAGCCGGTTGCTGTCCTTGCTGGTGCTGGTGCTGGTGCTGGTGCTGCATCATCATGATCACGTGCTGCCGGAAGCAGACAAGGTCGTCCCCATCGTCACTCCCGCGTACGCGCATGCTGAACCCGCGGCGCTGGCGCCACGACAGCGCTGACGATGACAATGACGACGACGACGACATGGACGGTGCGGTGGAGGATGGTGCTGGTGCTGCGCCATCGCTTTTGGCCGCCTTCACAGCAGGAAGGCCAACACACGACGCACGCCGTGGCTGCTGCTGCTGCTGCTGCTGTGCAAGTGGCGGTGCTGGTGCTGCAGTGTCCACAATGGGGTCGCGTGTCCATCGCCACGAGAGACGGCGGCGACTGGAGCGACGGCACACCGCGGGCGGTGATGGTGATGATGATGATGACGAGGCCGCCAGCCCCTTCCCCACCGCTGCCATCCCCGTCGAGGTCGACAGCGCTGCCGACGACGATGTGGACGCGGCGTCCGTGTGCCCGAAGTTGCGTGGACCATCGCGGTTGGTTGCACCGGACATGGGCGAGGCGAGCTGCGATGGTGCGGCGCTGCCAAGACCAGGCGACAGCGGGGACGCGAGCGCAGACACGTGTGCCGACGACGACGACGACGACGACGATGACGATGGGCTGGTTGGCGCTGTTGCCGGCCAGCGAATGGCGGCGCCATCGCAGTCGAGCATCTGCAGCAGTGACGCGGGCGCGTGCTGCGGCCACTCATGTGCTTGTTGCTGCTGCTGCTGAGCACCGCGGCTCACCTTGGCCTTCTTCATCTCGGGCGTGCTTGCATGCAACGACGTTGTTGCAATGCAGCGGCGCAGCGTGCGCGTGGACGACGAGGGTGAAGACATCGCCGATGACGACGCCGAGGAGGATGCAGACGAAGAAGAAGACGCGCCACCGTTGCGACGGGCAGCAGCGAGGTGCTGTGTTGCCAGCTGCTCCGACAGCACTGTTGTCTCGCAGTCGGCGGCTGCCGTCGCCTCAGACGCCTCAAACTGGGCGCCATCAAACGAGAAAAAGCTGGCAAAGCTCAGCCCGCGCTTCGTCATTGTGCGGGCACGGTGTCCATCACCATCCACATCGCCAGCAGCACGGCGCGGCTGCTTCCGGGAGCCCTTCTTGCTCTTCTTGGCCGCGCGTGAGGATGATGACGACGGTGTTGCCGACGATGTTGTCGACGATGGTGCTGTTGCCGATGTTGCCGCTGCAGACGAGCCGTGTCGCGATGCAAATGGAGTGGAGAAGGAGAACGGAAGACCCGGCAGTCGGCGGCGGCGCCGAGGCGACTGCTTCTGCTGTTGTTGCCGCTGTTGCTTCTGCTGTTGTTGCCGCTGTGGCTGTGGCTGTGACGTGCCTTCCTCGTCCTGCTGCTCTTGCTTTTGCTGCACCTCCTCAGCCTGCTGTCGCGCTGTGGGCGCGTGCAGCTGCTGCTGGTGGTCCTGAGCACCATAATCACCATCAACCCCAGCATGGCTGCTGCCTGGCAAGCCCTGCAGGAAAAAGTCAAACTCGTCCTCAGCCTCCAGCAGGGCTGCGAGCGTGGTGGTTCGCGGGGTGTGCGGGCCAATGCCCCCCGTGGAGGCGCGGCGAGCAGCACGGCGGCGCCCACCAGCCGATGCAGATGCTCCCGCGGCGCGTGTTGTGGCCGTCGTGCTGGCGACGGCGTGGTGGTGCTCACGCTGTGGCTGCCGCTCAGCACGGCCATCGCCAGCAGCGGTTGCGTCGTCGGTACTCTCGTCATCGTCGTCATCGTCGTCGTCATCACCATCCTCCAGCACAGCGCCGAGGCGGGCAATGGCGTCGTCGTGGGCGTGTGGCGGCGTGATGCGGCCCGTCTGGCCGTTGTTCAGGTGCCCCTCAACACCGGCGTGGTGGTCGCCAAGGATGGACGTCGTGCTGTACACCTGCAGGTCGCCCAGCATCACCCGGCTCCCGCGACGCGCCGAACCGCCAGCTGCTGCAGCAGCAGCTGCTGCAGTGGTGGTGGTTGTATCGGGGGCAGCATCGGCCGTGGCGTCCATGACCTGCTGCTGGTGCTCTTGCTTCGGCTCCTGCTGCTGCTGGTGTTGGTGGTGGTGTTGGAGTTGGGCTGCGTTGTCATCCGCTGCTGAAACTGCTGCCGCTGCTGCTTTGTCGGCAACGACAACAGGGCGGGTGACGCTGCTGAACGTGCTGCTGCAGTCGCCCATGACCAGGCCCACGTTGTCGTCGTCACTGCCGCACACGGACGATGCCGGTGACTCGTACAGGACAGCGCGCAGGCGCCGGCAGCCCTCGTTTGTCTGCAGAAACATACGCCGCCACTTGCGCCGCTTCTTGGCCTCCCACGGCTGGCGCGAAAGCCCGCCCATGGCGAGGCGACAGGGGTCTGTCAGGTGCGCGGTGGGCGAGAAGTGGGCGCGGTCCACAAACGACATGATGTGCAGCCAGAGCTCCATGGGCAGCGAGGGCAGCTTGCTCTGCATGTCAAGCTGCTTCTTCACCCACATGACCACCTTCATTTGCGACCGCATGTCTTCGCCTGTGAGGTGGTGCGTGGCCGGGGACCACGGCAGCACGGCAAGCTTCACCAGCTGCACAAGCTCCTCGTCGACAGGCTTTGCGTTGGGGTATGCGCCCACGCGTGACGCAAGCTCGACGCAGCGGGGCGCCTCGCGGGCGGGATCCACGCCCATGCGAATCAGCTGGTGCACAAAGTCCGTGTCGCGCAGGTCGCAGGCAATCTCCAGTGGCGTGAGGCCGCGGATGTATGCCAGGTACGCGCGCACGGCCGGGAACTCGACGGCGAGGGCCGTGGCGTCGTGGCCGCGGCGGGTGGTGGCGGTCGTGTCGCTGCCACGCGAGGCAAGGTACTGCACCACAGGGAGGTGCCCGCGCTGGCAGGCGAGCAAAAAGGGCGTGTACCCGCCCACGTCCTCCTCTGTGTGGGCGGCGGCGCCAAAGATCTTCTCCACCAGGTACTGCACGGTGGAGAGGTGGCCGCCGTTGGCAGCGGAGATGACCACGCCCATCTGGGTGTTGTTGCGCTCCGAGGATCCAGAGCCGTTGTGGAGCAGAAACTCCACAACGTGCGTGTGCCCGCAGTAGGCGGCCAGCAGCAGCGGCGTGTCGCCGTTGTTGTTTCTCTCGGTGACTGACGCCCCTCGGTAGACGAGGTAGCGCACGAGCTCGATGGACCCGCCGCAGGCAGCCAGGATGAGGCTGCTGTAGCCGTCGTTGTCGCGCTCGTGGATGGAGCAGCCAAGGTTGTCCAGCCACTTGACTGTCTTCAACTGCGCACCGTTGGCAGCTGAGGGAGTGTGTGTGTGTGTGTGTGTGTGTGTGTGTGTGTGTGTGTGTGTGTGTGTGTGCGTGTGGTTGATTGCAGTGAGTATGGACGGATGGAGGTGTGAGGGGAGGTGGAGGTGTGGGCAAGTACGTGTGGAGGGAGGAGCGAAGGTGTTTAAGATACGGACACTCACACACACACACACAATGACATGGACATAAACACACACAGTCACTCACTCACAACAATACAAATACACACACAACACACACACACTGTCGTTTTGTTCTTACCAGAGAGGAGCGGGGTGAAGCCGCAGCTGTTGGTGTCTGTGATGTTTGCGCCGAGCTCAATCAAGCGCTTGACAAGGGGGAGGTGTCCGCCATAGCACGCCAGCAGCAGCGCCGTGTCGCCGTTGTGGTTGACGGCGTGCAGGTTGAAGCCGTGGTCGTTGAGCAGCCACTCGACAATCTCTGTGCGCCCGCCATTGGCCGCAGAGAGGAAGATGCAGTGGCCGTTGAAGTTGCGCTCCGTAAGCGAGGCACCGCGCTCGAGAAGGAAGTCAATGACGTGGCGGTGGCCGCCCCACGCGGCAAAGAGGAGGGCCGTGTTGCCGTCGTGGTCGCGCTCCTCAATGGAGAAGTGGTGGTCGTCCAGGAGCCAGCGCAGCATGTCCAGGTGCCCGCCGCACGCGGCCTGCAGCACCGCCGTGTGGTGCTTCTGGTTGTGCTCGTGGAGGGAGCGCCCGCGCGCGAGGAGCAGCTCAACAACGTCGCGGTGGCCGCCGTACACGCTGTACAGCAGCGGCGTGTTGCCGACGACATCTGTGCAGCCCAGGTCGGGGGAGAACGTGTCCAGGAGCCAGAGCACGAGGTCCTTGGCCCCGCCCCAGCAGGCATAGTGCAGCACGTTGCCCTTGCGGCGGTTGTCGGCGTCTGTGTCTGTCCACGCGGCGCCCTGTGTGAAGAGGAAGCGCACCACGTCGCCGTGGCCGCGGCGGGCGGCGAGCAGGACGGGGGTGGAGCCGTCGCTCGTGTGCGCCTTGAGCATGTCTTGGCCGTATCTGTGCACGAGCTTTGTGACGAGCTCCAGGTTGCCGTGGGCGGCAGCCTTGAGCATCTGCGATTCTTCAGGGGATCGACCCATCTTGAACTGTTCGCTCGGTCGGTTGGTCGGTTGGTTGGTTGGTGAAGACGTAAGTCGTGGGAGTGACTGGTGTGAGTCACTGCGAAAAGAGAAGCCGAAAGAGAGGAGACAGGAGTTGGATTCAACAACAGAGGAGTCGTTGGTGTAGTTGTTGTCTGTTGTTGTTGTTGTTGGTGGTGGTGGTGGTGGTGGTGGTGGTGGTGGTGGAGCAAGTGATGGGACAAGGGAGCATGAATGAATGAAACGAGCACGGGTTCGTGTCGTGCAAAGCAAGCAGGCCGAGCGAGCAAGGAAGCATGGAAGGATGAGAGCGAAAAGGGGTGAAGGGAAGGAAATGTGTGTGTGTGTGTGTGTGTGTGTGTGTGTGTGTGTGTGTGTGTGTGTGTGTGTGTGTGTGTGTGTGTGTGAGGAAGGGGAAGGTTGAGTTGACAGCCCACACAAGGATGGGAAGAAGGAGGACACCCAAACCAAGGGAGCAGGTGCAGGTGTGTGTGTGTGTGTGTGTGTGTGTGTGTGTGTGTGTGTGTGTGTGTGGAAGAAGCGTGAGTGAAGATGGAATGCAGTGAAGACAAAGCGTGACACACAAAAGGTGTGTCGTGTCGTGTCGTGTGTGTGTGTGTGTGTGTGTCTTGTGTGTGTGTTGTGTTGTGGCAAACGCAGCACACAATGCACACGCTCAGCGCTGAGAAACCCGCTCGTGTACACAGCAAACACACAGGCGCACATGGGTTACGAACCGTGTTTGGGGGTCTAGTTGACGTGAGTTAATCGAAGGAAAGGGAAAGCGAAAGCGATAATGGACAAGAACGCTCGGGTTTCTTGTTCTCGCCGCGTGGTGGTGGTGGTGGTGGTGGTGATTGGTCTTGGGACTCAGCAAGGCATGCAACTGCGTCTCACAGTCACGCGGACACACGACTTAAGGTGCGAAGTTGGGGCCGTGAGAAAGTAGAGAGGATGTGTGACACACGCGCGAAGGTGGTCGCGAGCAATTGCAGCGAGAAAAAGGAGTGCTGAAGATGGGAGGAGGAGATGACGGTGGTGGTGGTGTGTTTGCGAGCGGGCTGCCTTCGACTCGAGCGAAAGGTGGCCAGCAAGCACGATCACACAAAAGTGGGAGGAGAAAAGCGAGGAAGAAGCCGCAGAGCAGAGGACTCTGTCCACAAAACAAAACAAAACTCAGGAGGTGTGGATGGATATGAGTGCTGCTAGTGCAGACACTGAAAACTCAGGAGAAGGAGGAGGAGGAGAGAGGTGGCCCGGTTTGCGTGGAAGACAAGGGTGGGGGTGGCAAGGGAAAATGAGGCTGTGGCTGCTTCAGGTGATGGAAGCAACAACAAGCACAGCCACGGGGGGGGGGGGGGGGGGGGGAAAGGTGGAGAAGTGAAGCAAGGGGGAAATGGAAGGTGTTGGCTGCTTGCTTGGTGGCTGCTTGTGGCTGGGTTGGAATGCCTTGGCGGTGCAGATTTCTTTGCCTAACAACCGGTCCGTGCACCCATCAACGGTGCTCGCACAGGTGAAGCTTGTGGGCGCGCCTGTGTCGTGGTTGCACGGGGAAACACACACGCGCACGACGATGGAATGCGCGGACGTATGTTTGTATGTGTGTGTGTGTGTGTGTGTGGCGTCAAAGCAAAATAGCGTGAGTCTCCCGCTTGCGCGTGCGTGCGTGCGTGCGTGTGTTTGTGGCGGCGACACAGCCAGCCAGCCTGGCAGAGCAGAAGAGAAGAGGAGGCGGGGTTGTGGAAACCAAAACAAATACACAAAAAGAGATGGCGCGCTTGGTTGCGCTTGGTGGTGGGCGCTGGAACTTGCCGCACGTATGCGGGGTTGGGAGACATGGTGGTGGACAGTGGGACACTCGGCAAGGCCGCAAAGCAAGCAAGCAAAGGTCGGCCTTGGTTGTGGCCTTGCTTGCTTCGCTTGTCCCACCAGTGGACACAAAAGCGTGCGTATGCAAGCAGAAAGAAGCAAGAGGCAAGAAAAGCAGGCAGTGGACGTTTTTCATCAAGAGGAAAGCATGCATGCACGGAACGCGAGCAATGCCCGGTATCGTGGGTGCCACACACACAATACCTGCGTGTGAATCGACGTGCGCGATATGCCAAGGCGCGGTAGCGTTGGTGATAGCGTTGATGGTAGCGTTGATGGTAGCGTGCGCCCAACTGTCCCGTAAGCGCGAACGTTTCTCGTGTGGGACATTCGCCACTTGCGCAGGTGGCGTTGAAAAGGTGCTCGTTAAATGCGCATCGAATTCTGGTACCGGAAAACTATTTTATGGTGTCGATTAATGTAAACACTGAACATTTGCGCGACAGTGCGACATGCAAAAATAGTGTTGATGTGTGAACGAAGGGAGGCAGCTACGAGCAAACACACACACACACACACACACACACACACACACACACACACACACACACACACACACACACACACACACTCATACACACACTCATACACCCATACACACACACTCATACACACACAACACACACAACACACACACACAGAGTTGCTATGGTTGTTGCTGTTGTTGTTGCTGTTGCTGTTGGAGGGTGGCGTAGCACTTGGCACACACACGCACGGCACGGTCCACAATGTTCAGGGCAGGGATGCGCGACTCAAATGCCGTGCACTTGTTGCAAAACACACCACCACAGTTCCGGCAGTGGTGGCGCCGCTCAAAGGACGTGAAGCGCGTATGGCAGCTCGTGTTCATGCACACGGCCACGGCGTTGTCCTTCACCCAGTGCTCCGTCGCCTTCTTGCCGCCGTCCCCACCCTCAGGCACCGCCCACGTGTACACCTGCCCAGCACTGTCCCCAGACAGCAGCATCCCCGTCTCGTTGCTCACCGCAACAGCCGTCACCTTCACAGGCTCCCCAACGGACCCTGGCGCTGACAACGACGACGGAGATGATGCAAGCATGCCACCGGTCGCCACGCCGCCAGCTGTTGCTGCGACAGGTGGGGACGGCACGCCCAAGGTCGCCATCAACGCCAGCGAGCGCACCCACTTCCTCCTTCTCCTCTTGCTCCTCCTGCTGTTCTTGCTTGTTGTGGTCGTCTGTTTTGGCATTGGCTCTGGCCCGCCGTTGTTCTTGTCGTGATGGTGCTGCTCCGAGTTGTTAGTGGCGGTAGAAGCAGCAGAGGTGTGTTGAGGTTTCCGGCTGCTGCCTCCACGGCTGCCGTTGTCGCCACCATGGCTGTGTTCACCATCGGTGTCATCACGCACGTCACCATCTTCATCATTGCCATGATCATCAACATTATCATCCTCATCATCATCAACATCATCATCATCATCATCAACGTCATCATCATCATCATCGTCATCATCATCACCGTCAGCAATGGTGTGCGCCAGCCCGCGCCCCATGCGCTTCGTGTCCACGCGAACAGCATCGCGACTCGTGTCTGCCGTCAGCTCAGAGTACTGCAGCGACCACAGGCGCACGCGCCCGTCTTCGTGTCCCGTCACCACCAGGTTGGACAGGCTCCACTCGCACACCTCGCTCACGCAGCACGACAGGATGCGGCTGCCTGGGGCGGCGCGCGCGTTGGAGCGAGCAAGGTACGTGCCGTTCACGTCCCACATGTGCACGACGTTGCGTGCGCAGGCGATGATATACGCGTTCTCGGAGCTGATGGCGAGCGCGGTGACGGGGCCGTCGTGGCCGCGCAGCTGTCGGATATACTGGCACCGGGCCAGGTCCCACACTGGTCGTGAAGAAGAGGGTGATTGATTGGAGGTATGGGACGTGGAGACGTATGGCAGGCGAGGGTGATGGGTTGGCAGGTGAGGGTCGATGCTTGTGGTTAAGAGCGCAACAGAGAGGATCTCAGTCAAACAACAACAAGAACACACACACACACACACACCACACGAGGACCAAGGCAAAACATGCTGTCCTGACCAATGCATGTGCCGTCGTGTGAACCGGAGACGAGGGTGTGGAAGTTGGCGGCGGCAGCGAGACACGAAACCGCCCCCGCGTGCCCGTGGAGCGTCTTCTGCAGGTGGATGCGCTGATGATGATGGTGATGGTGATGGTGGTGGTGATGGTGATGGTTGTGGTGGTGAGGACGACAAAGGAGGTGGAAAATGTGACATGTGAGATGTGGGGTGAGGGAAAGCGGCTGGGAATGCAGTTAACAAAGCAAACAAAGCAAACAAAGCAAACAAACACACATGCATGCACACCAACCCCCCCCCCTTACACAACACACGCTCTCACCCCGCGCTTCCCCTGCAGCGTCCAGACGCGGACAGTGGTGTCTTCGCCGCCCGTGACGAGCGTGCCGTGGCCTGGAAGGATAGCGGCGGTAATGGGGCCCAGATGCAGTCCTTCGTAAAACGTCGCCTCAGAGCGCGTGCTGCTGTCAATGGGGAAGCTCACAAGCGTGCCGTCATTCTGATTGAAGTCAAGGCACCGCGTGTACTCCGAAGGGATGAGACGCTGCCCCAACGCAGCAACATGCAACCGCCCATCGCTCAGCACCACGACTTCCCCGACTGCGCTCGAGATTTGGCGGACAGGGTGCGAGCAGATGGTCAGGCGCGCAAAGGGGGTGTGGCTGCTCAGCGCGCGTGGTCCCGTTGGCGCGTGCATGACGCGTTTAGGTGGGTGGGGTCGCTTGAACAGCTGTTTGGGCGTCTGCCCAAAGTTGTTGATGATGCCGATGGTGGCGGTGCGTTCCACCTCGTCCTCAATTGCGTCAATGTCCACGGCGCCTTCGTACGTCAGGTGATGAAACACGTTCAACGCGTCCACGGCCTCCTGTCCTTGCTGCTTGTACCCAAAGATGAGGTCAATCCAGTGATGCAGGTTTGCGGACACATAGTCCGATTCAAGCGCCTCGCGGTGGATGCGCACAAACTCGTGTGGATCGCCCTTGGCCCACGCAGGCAGCACCACGTCATCCACGCGCTGTTGAAGTTGTTGTTGGTATTGGTGGTGGTGTTGTTGTTGGTATTGGTGGTGGTGGTATTGGTGGTGGTATTGGTGGTGGTATTGGTGGTGGTGGTGGTATTAAGGACGTGATGCCAACGTATAAAGCAGGTGGGAGAGCTGTTTGACCAAACACACACATGCACACACACATACACACGCGCGCGCGCATACACATGCACATGCACATGCACATACACACCCGCATACATGCACATACACACCCATAGGCGAACAATGACAGGGACAACGTACAGTGCCGCTCTGCTTGACGCCAAGGTCAAAGCGGTTGCTGTTGACGAGAAATTCGGGCAGATAGAAGAATTCAGGAATAATCTCCTTCACGTCCCCATTATTCTTCTCGGATGCGGAGGACCATGCTTCCTCCACGCTGTGAAACATACGATCCGGGTGGTCAAAGAATCCGCCTGCAAAGGAGACGACAAACACGCAGCACCAAAACCGTGTTGTTGTTGTCACATGAGCACACCCCGTGACGTTGAAGCAGCAACACGCGTGCGCATACGGCAACGTCGACTGTCCACGCAGGCCACCCATGACCGCCGAAAGTCGTGAAAATGTATCGTCACACACACACACACATCCACACACACACACACACACACACGCACGCACACACACACACACACAACACACACGCACAGCACAACACAACGACCACTGCTGCCAACCAACCCTGCAGGGTGAGGAAGAGCTTGGTGAATGGTTCAAGGCGGACGAGGTACGAGGCGACGGCTGCTGCTGACGAATAGTGCGTGCCGTAATGGAACGCCGGCTCCCCGTTGCTCAGTATCGACTGCCCGCGCGATGTGTACGTGAGAGTGGGTGTGTGTGTGTGCGTGTGTGTATGCGTGTGTGCGTGTGTATGTGCGTGTGTGTGTTTGAGAGAGTTTGCAAGTGTGTGCGCGTGTAAGTGCCTGCGCCAACATTCCCAGGAGCAAAGCAGAAATATCAAAGACCGGGCAAGCACGTGATGCGTTGTGTACATATGACCAACTCACGTCCCACGCCTCGTATCTGAGCTTGAATCCCTCCGCGCGTTTTGGCGTCTGCGCCCCCATCGGCTTTGTCAAATCGCGAAACGTGTCCGGATCACTGATGTTGGTGATGGTGGTGGTGATGGTGGTGGTGATGGTGGTGGTGGTGGTGGTGGTGGTGGTGGCGCAAAATGTACCGATTGTTTTGGTCGTGTGCATGTTCAGCGTGAGCGCTGATGGTTGAAGTGCACACGAAAATTGTCGTTACCAACGACTCGTCCAAAGCATGCAATAAACTGCACACACACACACAGGCACAGACAGACACACACACACAGACACACACAGGCACAGACAGACAGACACACACAGACACAGACAGACAGACAGACACACACACACACACACGGACACGCACCTCAAGTCCAAGGTGTCTGACGTGTAGTCTCTGAGCACCCAGGGGAACACCGGGTACTGGTTCAGGTCGTTGTACGTGCGACCGGCGAGCGTGTTCAGAAACATCAGATACTGGAAGTTGGACAGTTCACCCATCTCCCATCGCCGTGTCACTGTCTTGCTCCCCGTCAGCACGCTCAGAAACCCGACCTGTGGGAAGGTCGATTGATGGGTTCGAGTGGTCGGTTGAGTGCGGTCAAGATAAACGTGACATAACGTTGGCGTGACATAACGTTGGTACCAACGCAATGTCCAGCCAAGCGACGACAGTCCTCTTCAAGCAATCTCTGCACCACTCACACAGACAGACAGACAGACAGACAGACAGACATACATACACACACACGCAGACACACAGACAGTCACACACACGCAGACACACAGACAGTCACACACATACACACACACACCATAAGCAGCACCACAGCGTGAGAGGCACGTGTACCTGCTCCAGCTTTGCATCACGGTGCATGCCGGCAACACTGTCCTCCGCTTTCACGGCGAGCGCGGGAGAGGAGGAACAAAACGCCGCATACACGCTGTCACGCGTTGTCCGGTCTTCAAACGAGAGGAGGAAGTTGTTTCCGACAAGGGAAAACAGCTCCAGCGCCCTGATCCGAGACGGACGCAGGACGATGGGGTAGAAGTGATGAGTTTGACGAGTCCAGGAACCAAGGTCGTGGTGCGATACACAGTCATTCACACACACACACACACACACACAAGTGAAACAAACAAGCGAGCAAGCAAACCAACCAAACAAGCAAAGCAAAACAAACAAACAAACCAGCTGGTCATAAACACCCCCCCCCACCCACCACCACCACCATAATCACCACAACCGTCACCACCCACGACTGTGCTCACTTGTCCTGCAGGAGGTAGCGTCCCCGGCGAATGTCGCGAAGTTCAGAGTATTTCCACGCAATCGGCGACAGCAGCAGCTGCGGTACATCGGTCTCTGGCTCCACCTCCTCTGCACCATTCAAAATGCGTCGTGTGTCATGCGTTTGTCATGTGGCGTGTGTGTCATGTGTTTGTCATGCGATGTGTGTGTGTGTGTGCGCGTGCGTGAGATATGGTGCGCGAAAAGAGGCGTGAGTGGGTGCTGAAGACAGCAAAGGAGAGCACACCAGCCGACAGCTGCACCAACGACACAACTCAATATTGACCAACAACCCTCCCCTTCTCACTCGCAAAGCCCCCCCCCCCCTTTCCACTCCCACCCAACCCCAATCACAAACAGTCGTACCAATGTCGGTGCCATCGTCTGTTGCGCGAAAGTTGGGGAGGAGGTAGGCGCTGCTCTGACACATGAACAGAACTGCATCCACGCTGTCCATCCCGCTCACGTGCTGGCAGTTGTGCACTGATGCAAGCTCATCACCAGGCTCCAACAGGTGGAGCACGGCCGGATGAGTCATCACCGGTGGGCGTGTCATGCTGTTTGTGGAAGCGGACGCCACTTCCTCCCGGCGAGACAGGGCAGAGATCGAGTGCTGCGATTGCGTCAGTGCGGCAGGGGCAGTGGGCGCGCCTGACGAGGTGCCTGGCGTGTTGGGCATCAGCCTGGCAACGGCACTGAACGAACGACTGCGTGACCCACGTGCACTTGCTGCTGGCGTGTTGTGCTTCCCCTTCACGCCAAGATTGCTGCTGCTGCTGCTGCTCCCGCTACCGCCGCTGGCGGACGCAGCAAGGCGCGATGGGCTGTCGCGCCTGCCTCCATGTGTGGCCTCGCTGCGCGGTTGTTTGCCTGCAGGCAAGGATGACGATGACGACGACGGCGACGACAATGCTGTTGTCGTCTGTCTTCTTCCTGCTGCTGCTGCTGCTCTCTGCTTCCTGCCATCATCATCAATGGGCTCAACACGGCCCTCCCCTATCGCTGTACTTGTTGCTGTTGTCTCTGCTGATGCTAGTGTTGAGTGCTGGCTGTGTGTTGTGCTGTTGCTGCTGCGAACGTGTTCAACTTGCACGTGTGGACCCCCGCGTGTGCTGAGTGTGTGGCCGCGGAGAACAGCGCTCTGCCTTGCACGCCACGCCGCCCCTGTCACATCACCGTCATCGCCATCATCAACATCATCATCACGGGCCTCGACGTTACCACCGCCACCACTCCCATCAGCGCCACGGCCGGCATTGCCAACACCGCCACCGCTACCACCAGCATCATCGGTCTCACCACCATCGGCATCGCTGGTGGATGTGAGATCCCCTCGCGGTGCGATGACCACCTCCCAGTCGTCATCAACTTCTTGCAGTGTCATCTTCACGTCCACTTCAACGCTTCCTTCCAGCTGCTCGCTGTTCCCGCCCTTTGCACCCCTGGTTACCACCTCCACCACCTTGTGACCAGCGTCACCGTCACCATCGCCGTGATGATGACCGCCACTGTCGCTGTCGCTGTCGCTGTCGCTGCCGTTGCTGTGAACCTCTGCGAACCATGCCGGGAGCTTCACAGAGAGAAGGCTGCTGTTGCTTCGCGCATGCAGCATGGAGAAGGACGTGGTTGACATGACGGCCTGGCTGGCGCTCGCACGCTGCACCAGTGACATCAACACCACCTGCTCCAGCTTGAACATGTCCGCGCGTGTCAGGTCGCGCAAGCTTGCACCGCGCAGGAGCCGCTGAATGTCAACAACACTTGACACGCTTCCCGCAGACACACGGCGCAGGCGCGCTGCCAGTGTCGCCGTCTTGGCCGTCTTGTACTTCTCACGGCCGCTGTCGCGTTGTTGATATACACCACTGCCAGCACGCAACGCGCGCTCGCCATCACCACCACCACCACCACCACCACCACCATCACGGCTGGCTGTCGGGTTGAGCTCGCGCAACAGGCGGTCGAGGATGGGGCGGATGTACCGCTGGTAGTACTCTGCGCTGTCAAAGCATGTCGGCAGGTTTTTCCGGCGTTTTGGGTCTGTCGACTCCGCCTCCATGGCGTGTGGATCCCCTTGCCACGGCCTGTCGCGGAAAGGATAGGCGGCGTAAAACGTGGCGTTGGGGCGCATTCTGCGACGCATGCGGTGCAGTCCTTCGTTTGTGTCCAGCTCCCACTTGTCCAGGTTGGACGGTCGTTCCGGTCCCCACAGCCCGCGCTCGCGACACAGTTCGCCTTGCATCATGTCAAACTGGGCGGCAACGAGTTTTGCAGACTCCACATCCTTATGGAAACGAAGACGCAGCCTGCAGGCGCACGTGTATGGGCGTGTTTGAACACGTGCGTGTGCGTGCGTGCGTGCGTGTGTGTGCGTTTGTGAGGCGAGATAGGCATGACAAGGCATCGGGACAATTACAGCAAACGTACACGTACGCACAAGCAGGTACGTACAAGCTCACACACATGCACACACGTGCACACATGCACACACACACATGCAGACACACACACACACACGCACGCACACGCACACACACACACGCACACGCACACACAGGCGCGGCCTCACCGCTGCGATGCTGCGTGCTCATCCCTGTCGATGATGGGAGCAAGGTCAATGCACAGCTGGTGCCATACACCAGCCAAATACGCTTTGCGTGCAAGCAAGGATGTTGGCTTCAACAGCTCCTTCTTGCGTCGAAACAACTGCAAGCCACCAGCACCAGTGCCACCACCACCACCACCACCAACGCTGCTGCTGCCTCCTGGTGTGCTGGTGATACTTGCACCGCTGCCGCTGTTGCTGACAAGACCAAGCCCACCCATGACGCTCGTGTTGAAGACGCCACTGCCGCCACCACCAACAAGACCAATGCCACTGGTGTTGTTGCTGCTGCCGATGTAGCCGCTGGTGCTGCTACCGGTACCATACGTGGACGTGCGTGAGGAGGTGAACGCTTTCCAGCCAACGGCAAACGCTTGCGCAAGTTCGCCACGTCGCCGCTCGACCAGACTGCGCAGCGTCATCTCATCTAAATGGAGGGAGGATAGTGGAAAGGACTGCCCGGCAGCGGCGGAGAAATCGTCCGGTCGCTCTTGTGCAAACGCCAGCAGGACTTCAAACGCCAAATCGCGCGTTGTCGGCGACGGGTGTTTCTAAACGCACAAACAAACCAGTTTCCGCCAAGGGGGGGGGGTTGGCAAATGCATGCATGATGAGATGTCGGGGTGAGTGGACGTGTGAGCAGGGGGAAGACACTGGAACTAAAGGGGATGCGAGAGCGGGAAGGAAACAACAGGGAAGCCATCACGTTGGTGCAACAGGACCAGAGCACACTGCTACACACACACACACTGCCAAACACACACACACACACATACACTGCCACACTGCCACACTGCCACACTGCCACACACACACACACACACACACACACACACACACAGACACACCGTGAGAGCGAGCATGTAGTGGTTGAGGGCAAACACTTCGTTGGTGTTTGTGTGTCCTGGTTGGAACAGAAGACGCGGTGGCCGTGCGAGCATCTGCAACACCAAGTCTGCGGACGAGAGGAGAAGGCAATGGTGAATTTCAGCATTGAACACACGAGAACATCACAAACGCGCACATGCACAAGCTCATTCGTACACGCACGTGAACACACGAACACACACGCGCACACACACACACGTGAACACACGTAAACACACGCACGCACACACGTGAACACACGTACACCCGCACATACGTGAACACACGCATGTACACGTCCACAACACACGCGCGCACCGAGAGTTGCCTCATCCTTGGTGTTGATGTCTTCCAAGGGAATGGTGGAGGAAGCAGACTGGCAGCAGCGCGTGTACAGGTTGGTCAGGCACGTGAACGTGCTTGCAAGCAACGTTGACACTGCAGCCTCGCCGTGCGTCGCAACAGCAAACGCGTGCGGGTGCCCCTTCTCATCGGCAATGTGCAGGATGATGCGGGAGAGCAGGCTGGCAGAACACAGGCACTGCTTGCGTGAGCCATACTGGCACAGGGCGTCGCACAGCATCACAAGCACGCGCGGAAGGGTCACAATCAGGCGCGACTGCTGCGTGGGCGCGTGTGCCAGCACTTCAGAGTCGATCAGCACGCCAACAAGCGACGACCACAGCTCAAAGTAAAACAGCGCACGGTCACGGTCCGAGCACTCGTTTGGCACCGCGCCAATCAGGAGTGACGTCAGGGTGGTTGCTCGCTCCGGCTTGGCGGCGTTCATGGCATCCACCAGCGTGGTCACGATGAGACCAAACAGGCGGTGCTGTGACGGGTGGCTGCAGTACGCAACCATCAACGACTGTGTGTTGCAACGTGTAGGTGAACAAGATTGACATGGTGGTGGTGATGGCGGAGGTGGCGGTGCCGATGAGGAAGGGGTGGTGATGTAGAACAAAAAAGCCTGAGAACAAAGGTGCACACACACACGCACACGCACACATGCACACACGCACACATGCACACGCACACACACATATGCACACGCACACGCACAACAGCCCACTCCGCCAAACTGCCATGTTTCAAACACAACCTCGTGTCTCACCTTTGGCTTCGCTGCGTCGCCACCTGCGTTGCGTCGCTGGTGGAAGAACACAGACACGAGGCGCTCACACACGTCCGCTTGCGTCAGGAACGACGAAAACTCGCTGCTGTACCGATACAAATCGCACAGGAAGGACACCACAGACGCCAGAATGTCGTCATTGGATTTTCCTTCCGGCTGCTGGTGTTTCGGGCCGTTGTGCAGCGTGATGAATGAGTTGCTTGCACGTGCCATTTTCGCTGTTGGCGGTGCAGTTGGTGCAGGAGAGGCGACGCCGTGATCGTCACCCTCATCGTCAACATCACGCGCTGTAGCTTCGTGGCCATCATCACCATCACTGTTGTCGTCGTCGCCAGCTTGTGCATGTGAGCGTGGTCCTGCATTCTTGTTTGCGGTTGCTGCTTGGTTCTTGTCCAGGGATTGAGGCGTGTTGGCTTCGGCACCAGCCGTTGTGCCACCAGGGGTGTCCTTCACAGCCATCGATTCAGTGCTTGCAGGCACGAGAAATGGATTGCCAGGCTGCTGCTGCTGCTGCTGTTGTTGTTGCTGTTGTTGTTCTTCTTCTTCCTCTTGGTGGTGTTGGTGGTGTTGGTGGTAGTGTTCTGACGATGGTAGGGGTTCCTCGCTGGCGTGTGTTGCCGATAAGAACGGGTTGCCAGGCTTGCTCGTTTCACCTGACGGTTCAGCAACGGCAAAAGGTGACGGTGGGCCGTGCACAACAGCACCACGAGCACTGGTTGGCGGCGCTGAATGCGCATCTGTTGTCGTCGTTGTCGTTGTCGTTGTCTTTGTCGTGCTTGGTGATGGCGGGATATTGGCGAGTGGCCCCCGCGTGAATGGGTTGAGTGGCGACACGGGTGGAGAGGAAACTGACGTCGTCTTAACTGCTGAGTGTTGCTCATGGTGCTGCTGCTGCTGCCGTTGTTGATGCTGGTTTTGTGTTCGGGTGCGTGCTGCTGCTGGTGTTGACGTCATTGGTGTCGATGTGAGGAACGGGTTGCCAGGCTTATCTTGCTGCTGCTGCTGCTGCTGTTGTTGTTGTTGTTGTTGTTGTTGCTGTTTGTCTGCACTACTGCTGTCTTTGGGTATGACTGGCACCACTTCAGCAGCGGCAGCAACGTCAGCAGCATTCATATCCTCATCATCGTCGTTGTCTTCAACGTCGCTGTCGTGTGCGGCACCACTGCTCTGCTTGGCCACAGCTTGCTCCAGGTTGCGCTGCATGATGATTTCGCCGTGTGTGTGTGTGTGTGTGAGTGAGTGTGTGAGTGCGTGAGTGTGTGTGTGCATTCACAACATCACGAAAAAATGAAACGCAGTCGTGGCACCACAACGAATCTCTCCATCGCAGTGAATACCGCCATTCATCACAGTGCTGACCTTGATGAAGACACGACGGTACAGCTCGTGCACACAGTCCAGAATCAGAAACAGCGCCGCTGGCGTGTGCAAACGTATGTTCGTCTGCGAAGCATAATCAAGGGTTTGCGCGCGCGTGTGTGTACATGTATGATCGAGTGTGTAAGTCTGTGTATGTGTGAACATGTGTACGTGTGTGTGTGTGTGTGAACATGTGTGTGCATGTGCTTTCTGCAAACACAAGCAAGATGCATCCAGTTTACCTTGAGAGGGCCAAACACTTCCTTCAAGTGGTGCGACGACACAGACGAGAATTCTGGCACCTGATGAGGAGTGCAAAACGGAAGGGGGGCACGAGAAGGTCAGAAATGTGACGAAGGCATACACTACTCGAGTGCTCGCGGTGTAGCACTTCTTCACGTTTGTGCACACGGATGTGACATCCACACATCACATCACAGCTTGGGTATCTGCCACCGGACGTGCGAGTGTGAGGGCAAAACAACCAACCTACCGCATCAAGGGGTTTTCCGAGCAGCAGCGCCAGCAGGATAAAGTAGAGCTCAGCCACGTGTGCGTGCGGAGCAAGAAGATGACCAACAACGTCAAATGCATCTCCCCAGGCCCTGTGCATAATGCGGTGGGGTCGTGTAGCCAGTGGTGTTAGCAATGTGTGCACCAAAGGAAGTGTGTGTACGACTAGCACGCTGCTCGCACACACACACATCACACACCTTACACACAACACAACACAAAACACAAATACACATTACACACAAACAGACACACACACACACACTCACTCACTCATTGGTATGCATGCGCACACACGCCGGCTCAACCCTCTCCGCTCTCGCTCGCACTATCTCCTCAGCCCAAAACGCGCAAAGCAGCACTCTCGCCCCCCCCCCCTCCGCCCGGCTCACCTGAACTTCTGAGCAACGGTGCTGTCGGTGTGCATGAGGACAGTGGCGAGTGTGCGCGCAGCCATACAGGTGGAGCGATCGTCCAGTGCTGGGTCAAGGAACAGCAGCAGCCACTCGACACCGCGCCCGCGGGACAACGCATCCACCACCTTGGGTGCGGTGCAATTGTGCATTGGGAACGTGTGAGTGCGTGGAGATGATGAAGAGGGGGAAGAAGGGGAAGAAGGGGAAGAGGGAACGAACGAACGAACGAACGAACGAACGAACGAACGAACGAACGAACGAACGAACGAACGAACGAACGAGGAAAGAAAGGAAGAAACGAAAGCAACACGCAAATGCATACAAATATCACACAGCTACACCCACACACAATTCACTCACACACGCTCAACCATCTCACCATGTGACGTGTCTCCTCTGCCGCTGCGATGCGAAACAGAACCGTCAGCATGAGGTGGCGGGCACGGGTGGTTGGCTCGTTATCGTCGTCATCGTTGTCGTCGCTGTCATCACCATTGCCTTTGGTGGTGGTGGTGTCAACAGCAGCAGCACCATCTTGACCGTGATCACCAGCATCACCGCTCCAATCATCATCGTCACCATCTTCATCGTCGTCATGGTGGTGACCTTCACCGATCGTGCTGGTCGCGCTCACGTCACGACCACCAGCACTGCGCTGCCCATGGTGCAATGGAACACCACCACCACCACCACCACCACCACCATCGTCTTCATTGGCGTCGTCGTCATCATGACGGCCGTGACGATTGGCGTTGGCGCTGCGTGCACTCCGAAAGCTTGATTCCGCCACGCTGCTGTTGCAGTGGTCGCACATCCACGTGAACCGCCTGAGGGGAGGCGGGACGGGACGCAAACGTGTGTGTATGAATGGCGATATGTGTTAGGGCATTGTGATATGTGTGAGCGCATGGGGTAAATGTAACAGTGCAGCAACATGTGTGGGAACCCTAACTGCCAATCACGCAAAGACATACATAAGACACACACACACACACACACACACACACACACACACACACAAGAAAGAACGAGCGAGTGCCAGGAGGCGTACGGGGCAATTGTTGCAGATGCGACTTGAATGACGCGGCGAATGTGTTGGGGGCGAGCACTGCACGTCAGAACAGCAGACAGGAGCGTGCACGCAGACGCACACACAGTGGCGTCCCCTTTCGTGTCCTCCTGATGGCGGTGATGGTGTTGTGGTGATGGTGTTGTGGTGATGGTGTTGTGGTGATAGCGTTATGAGCGCGTGAGTGTGTTGGGGAAGCAACGATGGAAGAGGCGAACAGGCGGGGAAGTGACGGTACAACCGTGATGTGCAGGTTGCGTTTGATACATTTCATGCATGTCGCACGAGTACAGCGGACACAGTACACGCACGAGCACACACACACACACACACACACACACACACACACACACACACACACACACACACACACACACACACACACACACACACACACACACAACAACACAC